AGTCAAATAGGATGGCTGGTGAATCATAGAATGGTTGGTCTAAAAAAGAGATATGAAAACAGACATGTCTTCAAAGCCTTCTCTCTCCATATTCTTGAGAACAAAGCAAGATACAATGAACTTAAATGTAAGCTATTTAACAGATTGAGCTAAGAGATATAACAGAATTTAATGCACCCCAAAGTTGTCAAGTGCTAGAAATAATATCTCAAGCAAGACAGTCTCAACATATAAAGTTAATAAGTTGAATGTAATATGACAGATGTGGTATTGAGGATCTACTCCTGTGTCTATGGGCAGAAAGGAGGAAGAGATAAAATATGACCTCTGTGGTCCTCAGGGGATTACTATAAATGGAATTTTTTTATGTTCCAGTTTGGCGAATTTAAGCCTCTTGTGGAGGAGCCTCAGAATTTAGTGAAACAAGCTTGTCAGCAGTTTGAGAAGCTTGGAGAATATACATTTCAAAATGAGTAAGTGCTTTTGATTATTTTTTATTGTTCAATACCATATAGAAGCCATCTACTGTATGCCTTATAGTAATGAGAATACATTATATCTTTCTAATCCCTATATGTCAATAAATATGAATAGAGAAAAATAATTGATATGAGATGTAGGATGGAGTAGCATCAACCTGTGTCTTGTTTACAAATATGGTCTCTTTAGATTGAGAATTATTGGAGTAGGACCTTTAATAAAAAGTTTGGTACATTGTACTGAGGATGTCCCTTTTAGCTTAGGGGATACTTCACAAGAAAATAAACTACAGCAATGTTTTCGAGTGTCAGAAGAAACTCAAGATGTGATATAAAAACTGAACATAAAGCATAAAAAATAGAATGCATATGTGAATGTTACATTTATAATAATTCATTTGGGAAAAATTTGAATTTGTAGGAGATATAGCTAAACTTGAATGGAATGGTTAGAGTCTTCTTTTCCTATATAGATAGTTCCTCCATAGAAGAGACAGAAGGTCCTGTGAGAGTAATATTCTAATTCAGTACACCCTTGTGTACAGAAAGTGAGATGTGGGATGGGAAACATCTTTCGTTGTGAAGTTCACATATACAACACTCTTCTAACTATAGACATTAGGGAAAACAATAATGAATCAGACATTTTTTTTGTTCATTGAACAGATTACAGACATACATTGACTTTTCGTGATGACTGGCATTCTTCATAAGTGATCATTGCCTGTCCTGGTAATGTGCTAGGTTAATTGCATTCTTCATTTCTTTAAACTGAATCTTTGTGCCTTCTCTATAGAGTGAGATATAATTTACCCCTATTTTCACTCATGTATTTCAAGTTTCTTTGGATACTGATGTATATAAACTCCACAACAGGATTTATTGAAAGAAAGAAGCAATATTAAATGCATTAGCTACATTGAGATATAATATAATAATATATATAATAAGATAAGATAATAAGATAACTCAATTTCCTAAGCTTATAAGAGAAATCTAAGACAATACCTTTTGGCATATGAATTCAAAACAATGTTTCTTGAGTTGCTTAGCATAAGGCTTTCTTGTAACTATGGCACTATCCAGGAGATGAAGATAATTTGTTGAATGGAAAATAGGAGCACTTTAGTTGATATTGTAAATTTTTCTCTTCTTAATATACTATGTTAAATAATGACAATGTTTTACCTTTTTTTTTTTTTGGGTCCTGTCATGGGGCCTGAACTCTGGGCCTGGGCGCTGTCCCTCAGCTCTTCAGCTCAAGGCTAGCACTCTACCACTTGAGCCACAGCACCACTTCCGGCTTTTTCTTTTTTGCTAATGTGGTGCTGAGGAATCGAACCCAGGGCCTCAGGCATGCAAGGCAAGAGCTCTACCACTGAGCTAACCTTCCCAGCCCCAACAATGTTTTATCTATATAAAACCCCATTAATTTTTTTTTGTGCCAGTCCTGGGGCTTGAACACAGGGCTTAGGTACTGTCTCTGAGCTTCTTTTGCTCAAAGCTAACACTCTACCCCTTGAGCCACAGTGCCACTTCCAGCTTTTTTTGTTTATGTGGTGCTGAGGAATTGAACCCAAGGCTTCATGCATGCTAGGCAAGCACTCTACCACTAAGCCACATTCCCAGACTTGGACCACTTTTTTTCAAACAGGCTTATAATTCGTTACACCAAGAAAACACCTCAGGTAGCGACGCCAACTCTTGTGGATGCTGCAAGAACCCTAGGAAAAGTGGGCACCAAGTGTTGTGGTCTTCCTGAAACAGAGAGACTGCATTGTGTTGAAGACTATGTGAGTCTTTTATTTGACCAATTTGTTAACAATGATCTTTTTGTCTTTAGATATCGACAATCTAATTTTTAGGAGCACTGATAGTTTAACCATTTTGTGTGTATGTGTGTGTGTGTGTTAGTAGCAGCCAGGGTTTGTTTACCTATATTATAGTGAATTCCAAAATTGGGACTAAATGTGTCAAAGGCAACAATGTGTTTTGAAAAAAAGTCATCTGTCTTTATTGGCTGTTCCTAGCCTTTTAGAAGTCTTCCTAGCATTTTCTAAATTTTTTCTTCAGGTATCTATTTCTTCCTCCTCCACCTCTTCCAACAGCACCTTAGGATATATAACCTCAAATGATTTTTTTAAGTGCATTATTTTAAACCTCTAAATATACTCACTTAACATTCAGCATTAGAAAAAAAAATCCTTCGTATTTAGGTCTGACTGTAAAGAAATTGCTTCCTCAATAAATATTGGATGTAAAGTTGCACGTTTATGTGGTACTATGTTTGGGAAATGATTGTTTATACCATTTCCAACTTTACTTTCTTTGATTTTTTTCTGTACTATTTTCCCTGCTCTTTAGCTGTCCCTGGTGCTGAACCAGTTCTGTACGTTGCATGAGAAGAACCCGGTGAGTGAGAGAGTCACTGAATGCTGCACTAAGTCTTTGGTGAACAGGCGACCTTGCTTCAGTGCACTGCCAGTGGATGAAACCTATGTTCCCAAAGAGTTCAACGCTGAAACGTTCACCTTCCATGCTGACTTTTGCGCACTTCCAGAGACGGACCAACAGCTCAAGAAACAAATGTGAGTGGTATTTCATTACTGCATGTGTTTGTAAATTTGATAAGTGACAATTGAAGAACTAATTCTAATATAGCCATTATATTCTTTGGGGAAAAGCATCTAAGTGTTACCCTTATTAAGCTAATAAAATTGTTAAGAAGTAAAGAATGATATTTTTCTTAACAATAGAACACATATAATATGTGTGTGTGTGTGTGTGTGTGTGTGTATGTATATATCAAAATCCAAATATTTTTTTGGGTCTGGTCGTGGGGCCTGAACTCTGGGCCTGGGCGCTGTCCCTCAGCTCTTCAGCTCAAGGCTAGTGCTCTACCACTTGAGCCATAGTGCCACTTCTGGCCTTTTCTGCCTATGTGGTGCTGAGGGATTGAACCCAGGACCTCATGCATGCAAGGCAAGCATTCTACCACTGAGCCACCTTCCCAGCCCCAAATTTTAAAATATCCATTGTTATATATAAAACACAAATTTTTATTATATTATTCTATATTTTTATTATATATAATATATATAAGCTTGCCTGCAAATTATTCAATGATTTTTTTTTTTGGATAAAAACCACTTTAGAATAAAATCTCAGGCTATCCTATGAGAAAAAGCTATACAACTTACCAGTTATTTTTATAGACATTTATTTAAAACATGGGGTGATTTGCAACGATTTTCTCATTTGATCCCCTCATCAAGGCTAGTAGGGTGTATGGTAAGCATATACAGATAAGAATAGGAGGTAACCGAATGCCTGAGCCTTGTCTAGAGTAGCCTGCCTCTGAGACTCCTGATCTTCACCGATAACACGGTCATCCTTACCCTCTCCACACTTTCTTTTTGTGAGTAAACATTTTCCTGCTCTTTCTTCCTTTTTGTATCCAAATACAGGACAATTGCTGAGCTGGTGAAACATAAGCCCATGGCCACGGAGGAGCAACTGGCCACTGTTGTGGGGAAAGTCTCAGCTTTTCTGGAGAAGTGCTGCAAGGCTGATGATAAGGAGGCCTGCTTCGCTGCAGACGTACGGGAGTTGTTCTCCTTCCTATATGTAACCTCCATTTCTGGGCCGGAGCTCTGTCCCTCAGCTCTTTAGCTCAAGGCTAGCGCTCTGCCACTTGAGCCACAATGCCAGTTCTGGCTTTCTGGTGGTTTATTGGAGATAAGAGTCTCATGGACTTTCCTGCCCAGACTGGCTTTGAACCACGATCCTGAGATGGCAACCTCCTGAGTAGCTAGGATTATAGGTGTGAGCCACCAGCACCCGGCAGGGATTAGGCAATTATATTTAAACGGAAGGGCATGAAGAACACAGCTGATTCTGTGTACATATGTACAGTCATCTTGCACAACGACTTCAGGTGTTCTTGGTTTCTATCTCCTGCTGTGCTGTAGCACAACATTGAACAATTATGATGCCTTAACTATTCCAAGTTCAGAATACTGAAATATTTGTAGATTCTGAAACAATGCACTAACTTACTTCAGCATATTTGTAAAAAGTGCTGGTTTGTGAGTTGATCGAGTCTATAGGTTACCCAGGGACATTTAAATTTAAATAGCTCAACCTTTTAGTAATATCTTCTGATAATAGTTCTTCCTTTTTGGAAACAATGGTAATCAGACAGATTATAGATAATATTTATATATAAACAAATACTTATTTTTATGTAAACACATGCTTTTTTGTTTATATATAAGTAAATATATGTATATTTTTTGTACACAAATACATATGTACATGCAAACATATACATAAATATACAAATTTGTAATTCATGTGAAATCATTATGTCACCACCAATGAGTATAAAATTGCTATGTAAAAAATTCTAATAGTTGGGGAGGTGGGGCGGGAAGGCTTGGTAGGATAAAACAATGCTCGATGGGAAATGTACTCATGTAATAGTAACACTAACATCTTCCAACATCTGTCCTTTCTCACATTCAGGGCCCAAAGGCTGTTGCTGAAAGTCAAGCTGTCTTTGCTTAAAACATCAAAATCACAACCATCTCAGGTAACTATGGATTACCTTAAAAATCTAATTATAATCAATTATGGTTAAAATATCAAAGTTGACTCTTTGTCAGGAGCCATAGAGACAAGCATCAGCCATTGTCCTTAGTTTTGTATGTGTGGTAACTATCTATACATGCATACACAGAAATACATATGGATAATTAATTATCATAATAGTGGCTGAATCGGGAGCCATTATTATTCCCCTTTTGTAGATGAGACAATGAATTCATAGATAAGGATGTCCGTTAGGTCAGTAATCATGCTAGTGTAATGGAAAGGTAAATTCACAATTCAGCTTAAGAGTTACCTGGAAGCTTATTCTGACACATATGATGTAGTGCATAGCTTTATTCAATAGTGATGGCCCAGTGGGGAGACAGTCTATGTATTAGGCATTCAGGGGGAGATCAAAAAATTGTTGAACATTGATGGTTTCATACAATTCAATTTAATAGTTCAACATTTTACTGGCAGATGTGATAAACCTGGCTTATATGATCTTCCACTCTGTAATGAATAATAGTCTCTTACTAAATTTCCATTGTGTTAACATACTAAGCTTTAATAATTTTTTTCTTCTAGTGGCAATAAGTCCTACTCTAAAGTAAATACGTAAATAGAATCATGACTGACCTATTTTCTTTGTAATAATTTGTACAAGATTTCAAAAACAGAATGTCAGTTGTTGAAAAGCAAGTTGGTTGGCAGGATAATACTGGTTAGTTACTTACTGTTCCAAGGAAACAAACTGCATCTCAAAACCTAGACATATCAAAATGTGATTTTCTTCAGTCCTAAGTGGGAAGGTGTTCGTCCTAGAGTTCCTAAGTAGACAAGATACCTTTTGTTTGCAATAATTTAGGCAAGCAGCAGGGAGTTAGAGAATAGCTCTGAGGAGACATGAGCCCTGATTAGACGCCTGAGGAGTTGAGTACTCCTGTACTGAAGAGAATCCATCACATTTGCCCCTTTGTTCTTGGCTTACCCCAGAAGAAGGAGAGCTGAGCTAAGTGCAGGACAGGCCTTATTTATTTCCCTAGTTTCAATTGCAGAAAAAGAAGGCAATTCAGCATTTGTTCTATCAGATTGGAAAATACAAACAGCTCTTAACATTTCTTCTTTTGTTTTTCAGTCTTCCCTGAAAAAAGAAGAGAAAGAGAAATGAAGAGACAGAGCTATCATCCGCCTGTCTTTTCTGTTGGTCTAAAATCACCACTATCCAAGAAACACACATTCCTGGAATATTTGACTCCTTTTCTCTGTATTTCAATTAATAAAAAGAAAAACAAATATATACTGTTGTTCAGGACTGTTATTTCCCTAAGGTATATTATCATCATGAAATTTTGGTGGGCTTTGTGAGAATTTCAGTATTTTTTCTCTTATTCCACCTCTCATACCATCTTAGAGGATTTCTAGTTCCTTGTGAGCTAGCAAATGGAGATAAATACTAATACTCTGCTGAGTTGTGGAATGATTACTATCATTCAAAGTAACATTTTAACATCACAATAATTCAGAATAAAACAACAACAACAACAATAACCGCAGCTTCCATTACTACTGGCTAGAAAGGGACTCTGGGACTTTATAAAGCCCTGTGAGGGACAAAAGAGAAAGTAATGACTTTCAATTGGAAAAACAAACAACCTAGGGGATATGAGGAGGGCACATGAAGGGTGTAAGAATTGGGGGAAGTATTATTGGAAGAAGGATAGGCCATCTGGAGGAATGAAGACAGTTGGAGTGACTAAGGGATATTAAATTGCTGACGTACAAAGGGTGGATGGTGAAAGTTCCTCAAATGCGTGCCTGGCCGCTTCTTCCTGTTCCCAGACATAATTACTTACATCATCATTTTGTCTGTCAATTACAGTTGTACCAGAGCTTTGTCTATTGATTTATATACTTAGTCATTTCTACCGATGTTAATTTGCAGGCTTTGATTTTATACTCTTCATAATGGTTTATCTTTTGAGTTATATGTTTTGCAATCTTCAGTATGTTTGTGAAAGATTCTGGTACTGTTAGATGGAAAGTCTCAGGCCTTCAACCATATTCATTCAGGAGGCTGAGATGTCTTCAGCCTAAGCTGAGAAGTCTGTGAGAGTCCATCACTCATTCAGCAGCAAAAATCTAGGATGGTGGTATGACTCAAGCACCAGACATGAGCAAGAAAGCTGAGCAAGTGTAAATAAATACCTGAGTTCAAGCCCTGAAATCCAAAATAAATATATAAATAAATAAATAGTCCTGGTACTAAGTTAAAAAAGTTTCTTAATTACTCTAATATCCTGTACAATGGTTATCATATCGGATCAGGGGGATAGGACATGGCACAAACATGACTTATCAGCGTGACATTAGATTGATAACTTGACTGAGGTAGAATCACCAGGTTTTTTTTTTTTACAGAAATGAGTCATTAAATTTAACTTACATTGACAAAGAGGGAGAAAATTCATTCATTTGTTTTGAGGAGCATAAGAGCAGCATAGAAATGGAGGGACAAATAGTGAACAAATATAGCAGTGGTACTCACAAAACACTCTGTGGAAAATAAACTATACACCTGTGGATGGGGATGGGAGGGAAAAACTGGGAGAGAGGGAAGGAAGAGGTAACAATGTCCAAAAAAGAAATGTACTTTTTAACCTGATTTATGTAACTGTAACCCCTCTGTAGATCACCCTTATAATAACCATTAGAGAAAGAAAATGGAGGATTAGTACAAGTAAGCTTCTGGAAGGGAAAGTATCTACATGTTTTATTTAGAATTCTTCTAAAAGTTTTCATTCATTATGTATTTGTTTAATTGTTTAATTCATATCAATGTCAACTCACATACATTTTTGGGCTAATACTGTGGCCTGTAATTTATTTATTGTTATATATTCTGTTGCTCCAATGATTCCAGTGTTGGATGTTGGGGTTTCTTTTAGGTTGCCTCCTGTCTCTTTTTGAATAGGTATTACTCGCTGGCAGTACCAGATGACACTGGCTCATCTTCCTTTCCTCAACCCTTAGAACATCCATTTCTTTAAGCAGGCCTGGTTCCTTTCATTAGAGGTATTACAAAGATTTGAGCACTGATGGTATTCATTGCCAATGGTTTCAAGACGTCTAGACCTCGTCAGGATAAAAGTTAAGAAATGTATGTATATATATATGTATATAAATGTAGGCACATATTATTTATATGTATATATAAATTTATATATGTACACACACCTACATAGATATATATGCCATACCTATGGAGACACATGGATATTTTTTCTGTTTCTTTTTTCAGTTACCTGAGCAATAACTTATGTATTTATTTATTTATTCTTTATCTTCACTCAGGTAACAGGATTTTTTAAATTTCAAATTTCGTTATCATTTACTTCGTTGATATCTAGATGCCAGGGAGTAGTTCCATAAAAAGTTGGCCTTGAAATCTCAAGAGAATAGAATTAAGAAACAGTGTCACTGGGGAATAAGGAACTATCTGCCTGTAACAGAAAGTAACAGAAAAGTAACAGAGAAAAAGAAGTCTGTCCTACTTGGCTGGGAGAGGTCTTTCCCACCTTAACTAGAGCACTTTGACTGGGGACTTGAAGAGTCACCAAGTTGAGTGACAGGAGCTACAAACTTCTGCAAGTGACCCAAAGAACATGAGCCCAGCAGCTCCACATTCAGTTTCAGCTGTGCTTCAGGTAAGGTGAGTCTAGTCTTTGGTGTGGCAAAGCAGAGGCTTCAAGGAATAAGCTGTAGAGTGTAGTCCCAATGGCTGTCAAGAAGAATATGTGTAACATTTAAGACACCCCTGTTCTGTGGGAAAGATGAACCCTTGACCCAAGTCCTAGGGCTTGAGCTCAGGGTCTGGGCGCTGTCCCTCAGCTCTTCAGCTCAAGGCTAGCACTCTACCCCTTGTGCCACAGCGCCACTTCTGGCTTTTCCTGAGTAGTTTATTGAAGACAAGAGTCTCCCAGATTTTTCTACTTGAACTGGCTTTGAACCATAATCCTTAGATCTCAGCCTCCTGAGTAGCTAGGATTAGAGGTGTGAGCAACTGGTGCCTGGCATAATTAGTGCACTCCCGTTTTGAATATTTATGCGCGTTTTTTGGTGTCAGGCATGGGCTTGAACTCAGGGCTTGGGCACTGCCTCTGAGTTTTTGTGCTCAAGTCTAGCACACTACAACTTGAACCATTTCCTTTGATTTTTACTAGATATTAGCTCCACCACTTTTATCCTCTTTCTTTAAACGCATCTTGGATCAGAGAGCTAGCCTAACTTTTTTTTTTTTGAATACTTGGGTGTGAATTCAGGACCTGTCTTTCTATGTAAAGCCTCAACTACTTGAGTCCCATCTGTATTTCTTTACGAATGGGATGATGCCATTATGTCTGATGGAAGCATAGAATTCCAGTGTACATATAGTACATTTTCTTGATCCATTCATCTATTGAGGGGCATCTGGGTTAGTTCCATATCTTAACTATGGTAAATAATGCTGTAATGAACATAGTTGTGCTGGAAGCGTTAGTGTGGCCTTACTTGTGATCACTTGCTTGTGGCCTTGCTTATTCAGGAATGTGATTGCTGGGTCATAAGGGAGTTTTAGGTTTAGTCTTTTGAGTAACCTCCATTCTGCTTCCTAGAGTGGTTGAACAAGTTTACATTCCTGCCAACAGTGTAGAAGTGTTCCTTTTTGGCCACATACCTTCCAGCATCTGTTATTTGTTTTCTTGATAATGGCCATTCTAACTGGGGTGAGGTGGAATCTCAATGTGGTTTTGATTTGCATTTCTTTTATGGCCAGCAATGTGGAGCATTTCTCCATTTGTCTATTGGCCATTCTTATTTCCTCTCCAGTGAAGACTTCTCCCTCCCTTTTTATTGAAGATGGATGACAGATGCATTTCTTGAGTCAAAATTTACTGTCAGGATGAGAATGAAGTGCTGATGACATGAGCAGAAATGTGTTCTGGCCCCTTTTAT